TCTCGTGGACTTGTTTTCATTTTTTTCAGCTTCAGTTTGAATTTGTATATGAGTAATTGATGATGTGTTCCACAGTCTGCCCCTGGCCTTGTTTTGACTGATGATATGGAACTTCTCCTTGTCTCTTTCCGCAGATGTCGTCAATTTGATTTCTATGTATTCCATCTGGTGAGTTCCATGTATATAGTCATCTCTTATGCTGCCTAAAGAATGTATTTGAAATGAACAAATCATTGATATTGCAGAATTCTATCATGTGTCCTCCAGCATCATTTTTATCAGCAAGACTGCATTTTCCAACTACTGATCCTTTCTCTTTGCTCCCAACCTTTGCATTCCAATCACCAGTGATGATCAATACATCTTGATTGCATGTTTCATCAATTTCAGATTGAAGAAGTTGTTAGAATTCTTCTATTTCATCCTCACTAGCTTTAGTGGTTGGTGTGTAAATTTGAATAATAGTGGTATTAACTGGGCTTCCCTGTAGGCACATGGATAGGATCCTGTCATAGACAGCATTGTACCTCATGACTGATCTGGATGTGTTCTTTTTGACAATGAATGCAACACCATTCCTCTTCATTTTGTCATTTTCGGCATAGTAAACCATGTGGTCATCAGATTCAAAATGGTCAATACCAGTCCATTTCAGCTCACTAATGCCTAAGATATTGATGCTTATGCTTTCCATTTCATTTTTTTGACACCTTCCAATTTTCCCAGATTCATACTTTGTACATTCCATGTTCCAATTTTCAGTGGATGTTTATAGCTGTTCCTCTTCATTTTGAGTTGTGCCCCATCAGCAAATGGAAGTCCCGTGGATTTTTCTCCCACAGGCTTTACTCCATTCGCTTCATCACGGTCAGCTCTACTTTGAGGAGGCAGCTCTTTCCCAGTCTCATTTTGAGTGCCTTCCAACCTGAGGGGCTCATTTTCCAGCACTATATTTGACAGTGTTTCTCTGCTATTCATAAGGTTTTCAGTAACTAAATATTTGGAAGTAGTACGTCACTCCTTTCTTCCTAGTCTGTCTTTGTCTGGAAGCCCATCTGAAACCTGTCCACCATGGGTGACCCTGTTGTTGTTGTCAGGTGCCATCGAGTCGGAACCGACTCATAGCGACTCCATGCACAGCAGAACGAAACAATGTTCGATCCTGGGCCAACCTCACCACC